TCATGTTGTAAAAGAAGAAACAGGCCAAAAGAATCACACACACACACACACACACAAAAGTGAAAGATAGTATGTTCTGATCTGCATTCAGACTCCATCAGTTCTTTCTCTGGATGTGAATAGCATTTTTCCTCATGAGTCCTTTGGAATGATCTTGGATCCTTGTGTTGGTTAGAAGAGCTAAGTCAATCATAGTTGATCATGGCACAATGTTGCTGTTACTGTGTACAATATTCTCTTGGTTCTGCTCACTTCACTCAGGATCAGTTCATGTAAGTCTTTCCGGGTTTTTTTGAAATCCACCTACTCACCATTTGTTCTAGAACAGTAGTAGTAGATTACACTCATATACCACAACTTGTTCAACCATTCTCCAATTAATGGGCATCCCCTCAATTTCCAGTTCTTTGCGATTACAAAGAAAGCTGCTATAAATATTTTTTGTACATGTAGGTCCTTTTCCCTTTTCTATGATCTCTTTGGATACAAACCTGGTGGTGGCATTGCTGGATCAAAGGGTACACAGTTTGATTGCCCTTTGGGAATAGTTCCAAATTGCTCTCCAGAATGGTTGTGATCCAACCATTCTGGAGAGCAATCTGAAATTGTACCCAGAGTTATATACTGTGTACACCAGGGGTGAGCCTCTTAAGTCCTCAAGTGCTGCCCTTTGACTGAGGCCGCAGGTTCCCCACCACTGGTATATACCCTTTGAACCAGCAATACCACTACTAGGTCTGTTTCTCAAGGTGATCAACAAAAAAGAAAAAAAAATCTATATATTCTAAAATATCGGTAGCAGCTCTCTTTGAGGTAGCAAAGGACTGGAAATTAAGGGGATGCCCACCAATTGGGGAATTGCTGAACAAGTTGTGGTATATGAATGTAATGGAATACTACTGGGCTATAAGAAATGATGAGCAGGTAGACTTCAGAAAAACCTGGAAAGACTTGCATGAAATACTAAAGAGTGAAATGAGTAGAACTGAGAACATTGTATATATGGTTACACCAATATTGTTCAAAGAACAACTGTGAACAGCTAAGTTATTCTGAGCATTATAAATATTCAAATCAACTACAAAGGACCTATGAAGATGCTATTTACCTCCAGAGAAAGAACTCTAAAGTACGTATAATATGGTTTTACATATATATGTGTGTATACATATATATATATATGTGTGTGTGTGTGTATGTGTGTACGAGTGCAAAATGGTGGCCTTCTCTAATGTGGGGGAGGAAGGGAGACATTTCAAAACTTAAAATGTAACTTTAAAAAATTATATTAAAATTTTTTTTTTGTTCCAAAGAGTTGTTCATTCTCCCATCCCACCCGTCTCTGAAATAGCTGTATTGGAGAAACAAGAAATGCAAACTACCAACCATATGAAAACACCCTAAATCACTATTCATAAGAAAAATGCAGATCAATATACCTCTCAGGTTTCATTCTGCATTCACCAAACTGGAAAAAGACAATAAAAGACATCAGTAATTCACATCGGAAGGGCTGTCAGCAGTTAGCCATACTAGTACTTTCTCAAAAACAACTTACAATTATTCAAGAAAAATCACGAAAACGCTCATACCCTTTAATCCAATGATCTTAACATTAGGCATATTAGTCTACTGATGGAGGTCAATGACAGAGGCCTCAACATATTCATAGCATTTTTTTTGTAGCAAAAACCTCCAAACCCAGAAACAAAGTAGATGTGCATTGATTAGAATGCCTAAACAATGTCTCGTAGTTATCTACTCAAAGGAGAGCAGTGTATTTTATTATTGGTCTTCTGGAACCAAGATTGATCGCTACATTTTTTCTCAATAAAAATCCCCTGGGAAGGCACTGTTAGGCATTGTCATAATGGCAGCTGGTTTTGTCTAATGGTTTTTCTTCGTTAAAAGGGAGGATTCTGTGAAGGGTGTGTTACTAGGAAATAAACTGTGACATAAAAATCAAAACATTAATAAAACATTTAAAACAATGAAAAAAAAATGAGGAAATTAAGTATCTCAGCTAGAAGAAAAAATTAGGTAGAGAAAATTTTTTTCCTAGCCTCTAGATACATAACTTCAATGTGCTTTCCAGTATCCTTTCTATAAATTGGTTGTGTTGAGTAATGAACTATTCCTGATCTTGCCGCTTTGTTTTTATCAGGAAGAAGTATATTATTTGTATGTTATGTAGTAAATCGATACAGTGTGGTGTATGGAGATTCTAGTCTTCGATGTGGGTTCAAGTGCTGACTCTGACACACACTGTGTGACTCCAGGCATGTCACTTAAATTCTTGGTGCTACAGACAACACATTTCTGAGTAGGTAGGTACTGAGCTGTACTGGTAGGGAGAGTTCATGCCAAGGGAATTCCTTATACCAATGAATCCAGTATGAACAAAATCTAACTACAAATTTAACCTTTTAGATTTTGAATGTAAATAGAAAATTATACACCTAGTATCCCTTTTAAATCTAATTGTCTCTATTTCGTGTTTCACTTCTTCCTGTGCCATTAACAAAACGTACAGCTATCACTGGAATCAAAACAATTTTGTGTTCTGGCATTTTTAAATATGAGAACATTCATGTTGAAAAGGAATTCAGTAAGTTGTCCATAGGCCAGCCCCTATTAAAATGCTTGCTAAGACAGCACACTCTTTAAACAGGCATATCCCTACCTCTGGTTTGGCCATTCTTTTATTTCAAGAAAAGGTTTAGAATGTTGCAGTGAAAACAGTACTGGTCTCAAAATAAACAGACCTAAATTCAAATCTTAACCTTGAGATTTATTCTTGGACTTCATAGTCCAAGGGTAATTGGTTATCAGGAAAAGACTACATGAATGAATCTATCTAAAATAGGGACTGTATTAACAGGGGAAACAGTGAAAAAAAGTCTGAATGGGACTTAATCTTTTGAGAAAATGAAACTAAAGTTACGAAAATAAATTTACTTTATTTTATATTTAACAAAATTTAGGTTACAGTTGCAACTATGTGCTAATTTATAGAATAAACATAGAATGAATCAAGTGCTGGGCTTTTTGGGTGTAATTTTTTTTCTGACAAAACTGTATGATAGCAAGATAAGTCATTCTTTACTCAATGACTTTTGTAGCACAATTATAAAAAGGGTCATTAACAAGTGGGATAGAAAGGATCATGGAAGACAAAATAGGCAAAAAGAAAAAACTAAAAAGTGCACAAACAAAACCAATGCAGCTAAAATTAGAGGGGAAGTATGTAACTCAAGGGAAAAAAAAAATCTTTGCAGCAAGTTTCTCTGATAAAGGTCTTATTTCCAAGATATAAATTTAATAAAAGTCATTCCCCAATCAATAAATGTATAAAAGCATATGCACGGGTAGTTTTTCAGAGGAAGAAATCCAAACTGTCAATAAGCCATGTAAAAAAAAAGATTCTTCAAATCAATAATAGAGGAACGCAAATCAAACTCTGGGTTTCACAAAGAGAATCAGTAACAAATGCTGGAAGGTCTATGGGAAAACAGGTATATTAATATATTGTTAATGCAGTTGTGAGCTGGTCTGGCCATTCTGGAAAACAATATGGATCTATGCCCTAGAAGTTATTAAACTGTGCATGCTATTTGACCCAGTGACACCACTACTAGGAGTATGCCTCATAGAGATAAAAGAAAGAGCAAAAGGACTCATATATTAAAAAATGTTTCTATCAGCTCTTCCTGCTGGCAAAAAATTGGGTACTATATTGGAAACTGAGGGGGTACCCATCAACTGGGGAATAGCTGAACAAATAAGGCCACATGAATGCAATGGAACATCACTGTACTTAACAAATAACAAATGGGACAGTTTTAGAAAGACCTGGGGGGACTTGTGTGAAGTAATGCAGAGTGAAGTAAGCAGGACCAGGAGAACAATTTATACAATAAAAACCACACCATAATGACAAGCAATTTGGAAAAACTTAAGAACTCTAAAGCAATTACCAATCGTGATTTCAGTCGGCTCACGGAGAGGTGCCAACTGAGACAGCAATTTTTTGGATGTGGCCAATGTGGGAATTTGTTTTGCTTGACTATGCACATTTGTTATGAGGAAAAAAATAAAAAGGGGTTATTACTGTAAAAATCTTAAGGACTTGGGCCCAAGTCTTCACTGAGTCTAAGGACAGCCTCTATCCACCACGCCAAGCTATGTTTCATTGAGTCATTATAATGTGCTTAGCGTTTCAGCTCCAAATTAAGATTTATAGAATGCTGCTGCTATCAAATTCATTTAATGGTATTAGGCAACGAAATTCTAAAAGGTTTTTAAGTCTTTTAATAAAATACATCATTCAGGGGAAAATTTAGGTACTTAAGAATACCCGATATACTTATTATACATACCTCAAAATCATTTGAACCACTATCTATCATCCCAACCAAAACTGCAGATTGCTCCCTCAATTAAGGAAATTGGAAGAAAAGGTTCAGGAAACGTAACGATAAAATTTATTAGGAAACTGCATATTTAGTGAATATGAAATAACTCTTAAGAATGCAAGCTTTAGCAGTGATTTATCATTTGTAGCCTCTGGTATGTTAAAGGTAAAAAATTTAAATTCTTTTAACTGTTTCATCATAAAGATATTGAGAAGGTACTGAAACTCATAAGAGAAAAGGGCACCAAGAAAAAGTACTTATTATGAGGCTATCACAATTTAGAAAACACTAAAATTGCAAACTTTTGTTGAAAAAGAAATTAAAAGACAATGATAATCATTTTCACAATATGATTTAAGGAATGAAGCAAAGTGACAAATTTTGACCTGTGGGCTCCTTTAAAAAGTAAAAGCTAATTTTACTTTCAATGAATGTCAACTACATATTTTAAAGCTGTCTTACTTATTAAACTGCCAGATATAATAAAAATATAGTATCTTAAAAGAAACTAAAGAAAAATGCAAAATCAAAATTTTTTTTACAGAATAGTATAAATGTTTATTTTTCCTTATGATTTATCTTGCTGCTTTGTTTTTACAATATAGAAAAGTGTATTTTCTGAATAGCTCTAGTAAATATAAATTTATTCTTTTCTACTTTTGGATGTAAATAGAACTAGAAAATGATATACCCAGCCCACCCCAAATATTCTTTTAAAATAATTGAATGAATGTGATTATTAATCTTGTTGAGCGATTTGATGCAAATGGCTAAATACAAAAGGAAAACATTTAGGAAGTACTATATGGGGAGGAAAAAAAATCTTAATACTTTTGATAGCTTGTTGAAAAACCAGAGAAACTAAAAGCAATTGATTGCACCTTCAACTCTTTAGAAGAAAAACATTCTTAACAGTGCCATCATACATAATCTACAATTATAAACCAAATTTCACAAACATTTTCTGCATACAGTATATATAAATACACATCACAAAGGTGCAATTAGAATTAAACACAGAATATGTACAAAATGAACACAGAAGTTTAGTTGTAGACAAAAAATTACTGTAATCTTTTAAAAAATAACTTGATTAGGTATTATTTTATCCACTTACACTAATTTACATTTATACAAATTTTAATTGAACATACTAGTTCGATGTGCTAAGAATAGCTGTACTATCTACATTTAAAGTTACTGCACTGTTACTCTGAAAGTCCAAATAAGAAAAAGAAGATACTTTAATGAATAACGGATTTTCCCCTTAAGGATTATTTAATGTCTATCTTCTACCTGTTGAGTGGACATGCTCACACACATGTATGCACTTTACACATGCTACAAATTCCATTGTGGGAAATAGAACAATCATGTACATGTAATAATTACCGAGAAAGGTAAATTATCTAAAAAAAAATGGCTGAATTCCAACATGGTTATTTCTTTTTCATAAAACCTAAGAGTTCTACTGAATCAGATCCTTAAATAAAAAAGGTTTTTGAGTTACAGAAAATGATTTTCATGTTTTTAGTAATTCTATGAAAAAAATCAGACCTTCAAGCATCACACTACCATCTCCCAATGATCGATTTGGTTTGGATAATTCCGATTCTTTACCAATGCACTATAACATCTTTGATAAAAACATGTCATATTAAATTTGTTTTTTAAAAGAAGAAAAGATTGTGATAACTTTGTTGCGAGGCACACTTCTGTAAATCAAATCAGATTCACAGATCAGTATTCAAAAAGGTCTCTTTCCACAGAAAAAAAACCAAATGATCAGATTTCACCAGCTCTCGTGGCTTTGATATCTAGATCTGTCGAACCCTCAACAAATGATATACTTGATAAATACATGTTAATATGACTACTTGGTGACATTAACTGATGTTTACTTTTTAATCATGTCCCTAGTATTTCCATTTCAATATCTAGGAAACTTTCTGACCATTTATTCTTGTTCTAAATCTATACCACCATTTTGAAAAAGAAACCAGAGAAATCCCAGAGCACTTGTTAATCAGTCCCATTATACAGAAATATATTACCCGTCCTCGGATATTTAGCTTACAATTTTTATTAATACATTATAAGATCTTTTTAAAAACAAAATAATATTCATTTTAAAAGCTGTGCCTGTGGATTATTATCCTTCTCACACTTAAAATGTGGCAACAGGGCATTACTCCACTTTTCATCCTACAGAGTTAATTTTTAAAAGGTAGCACTGACATTTCTGTAACAAAATATTTCTTGAGTATTTTTCTCCAGAATTAGTTCACGTGTATTTTCCAAGATCAAGCCTTTGACCAAGTAAAGGTTTCTCACCAATATTTCTTCAGCTTCCACTTGAATAAAGCAATGCAAAGCTTTCTACCATAAATAACAGATAATTTATAAATGCTCTTCAGGTAAAAGAATCAGAATGACAATCTCATTCTAAGAAACTTAAGCCAATAAATTCAAAAGCAAAACAACCCAAGAAAAATTCAAATTCAGAGAGTTCTAAGTAGATTTACCTAATTTAAAAGAACTAATTCCCCATTAAAAATGTCTTCTTTTTCAGTATTATGAATCCTAGCTCTTTTTAAAACAAGCACTGAATTCCCAATGCAGTCATGCTCTTATCTCCGAGCGTCCCTTGTCTTAAGTGTTCCTCACTGTTCATTTTTCAGTTTTTGTGCAAGACTTAGCAATTCATGGCACAAGGGTCACTCTTGGCCTTCCCCGCGGAGTTGATGACTCTCATTAAGCACCGTCCGAACTCCTCCAGTATCATCCGCTCAGCGGCTGCTTTCGACTTGCCCTTCTTGTCCGCCTGCTCGGCCTGGGCAAGAAGACAGTTACACGTGGCTTCCGCTACTTCCTTGGTCACAAATGTAAATGGTAACCTGCAATGGCAAGAAACCAATCATTCAGTAATGACACACATTGTGCTTGGTAAAACACTTGACTGAAATTTTCTTTTAATTAATAAAACTACACTTCTTCAGGACAAGAAACAAATGCTTCTGAAGTGACCTGAGAATCAAAAATCAAATTATGTTCAGCATAAGAACCTAATAGTTCACAAATGAAAACTGGTGATTCATGTACGATCAACTGACTCTTTAACTGCTATTCTCTTCACTGCCCCGAGGCCATGAATGATAAATAAGTTACAGGCTCTGTCTTGAAGAATCAATCACCAGGTCTGGAGGGAAGGCTGGTGGAGAGAGACGGTAGGTACTTAAAACAAATATTTGTTGAACAAATGAAAAATTCTCACAGGGAAAAAGTCCTTTAAATTTTAAGATCAAAAAAACATTTAGGAGTATAACAACTTTTTTTTTTTTTTTTTTTTTTTGGCAAAACATCTGAAAGTGTGAAGAGCTTTACATGTTTCAATGTCTTTTCTTTATGAATTACAAGTTCCAATCCAGAACTCTGGGGAAAAAATGAAAGCTGCTTTGCAAACAAACAGCCCCACCACAAATGCAGGCTTTGTTAAACACTGGCCTCCGACTTTAGTAAAGTATATTCCATCACAACCAGGAACACACTTATCTGTTCCTAAGCTCTCCTTGAGGCTCAGCACAGGCTATCTGCTGCTCAGTACAGCGCGTGGCACGCAGTAGGAGCTTTGTGTTTACTGACTGACCAAGAAGCCATCCATAACCCCAATCCTCACACACAGGCCACCTGCTGAAAAGCAAGAGCTCAATTTATCCTTCAAAGTCAGCAGGCCTCGCTGGGCAGTGGGAGAGATGCCACGAAGACTCGTCATGGGAAAAAGGTAACAATCTGCAAACGTCTGTCCTAATGGGAGTCTTAATTAAGTACCTTTCTAAATAATTTAAAATTAGGAAGTACTGATAATGCAGAAGTTTCATATTATAACTGTAGGCAATGAAATGTTTTGTTAAAAACAACACTATCAATACATCAACTTGCTCATTTCTTCATATTCAGTTGTTCCAGAGCTGTCCTGCTGGTGTGGGTCTCCCTCTGAACTCCCTTTTGCTCTCTTCTGTGTTTTTGTAACATTTCATTCATGCTTTTAATTTTTTTTCTTTTTTAGCTATCACCAGACCAAGTCCCTCTCCCCCACAAAAAAGTCCTCCCTTCTAGCCAATAAGCAAAGGCAAGCTCAACGAGTCCCTGACCACGTCTGTAGCCCGCGGCCTCTCTGGGAGGAGGTGGGAAGCCTGGTCCATCGCTGGTCTTCTAGAGGCACTGTGGGTCATGACGTTAATCAGAGTTCATAGGCCTTCCCAATCTGTCTTTCTTTTTAGTGCCAAAGTCACTGTATAAACTGCTCTCCTGGTGCAGCTCACTTCATTATCAGTTCACAGACATCTTCCCAGATTCCTATGAATCTGCTCCTTTCATATTTCTTGCCATATAATAATATTCAATTACGTTCACATATCATAATTTGTTCGGTGATTCCCCGACTGATGGATACCCACTTTTTTTACATTCTTTGTTACATTAAAAAAATACTATAAATATCTTTCTACAAATTGGTCCTTTCTATCTTTTAAAAAAATCCCTTTAGGGTTTATGCCCAGTAGCAGCAGGAATGGACCAGGTTATCAAAAGCTTCGAATGTCAAACAGAGAAGTTATACTTGAGGTAGGCAGGGAGACGCTGGAGGCGCCCTGGGGTGAGGGTGGGAGGGCAGTGTGTGTGACACAGTCAGATCTATGCTGTCAAAGTGAAGCAGAAGGACTGGAGTGGGGACAGACTGGAGGCTGGGAGACTTTTTCAATAATTGAAGCAGGAAGTGTTGAGAACCTGAACTAGGGTTGTGGCTGTATGAATGGAAAGACATATTTATTCCTGTTTTTTTAATGTTTTTAGCAGAAACAGGTACTGCAGTTTGTCAGATCTAGACAAATATAATGAAAAAACTAACAAGAAACAAGTTAAGGGCCTGAATAGAATTTTAGAAAAGTTAGGACAATAGAAATAAATACATACCGATGACTGGCACCTTTTTCAAAAACTGGCCATATGCTAGGGCACAAACTATTCATAAACAAATTCTTAGCATCCAGAATTTGGCTGGCCACAGGTCTCCCCCTCAGCATTCTTGGGCACCTCTGAGGGTAAGGGATGGTTCTCGAATGTAAGGATTCTCAAGAATCCATGAGCTTGGACGGGGGAAAAAAATGACTTTTTCTTTTCTTCAAAATAATTGGTTTCTTTGGTAATCCTATGAATTTTATTTGATACATTTAAAAACATGACTCTGAGAAGGGGTCCATAGGGGTCTGTGACACCAGAAAGTTTTAGAAGATCTGCTCTATCCCCATCTCCTGCACCCTGCTGGGATGATCAGTTGAGAATCATCTGAGTCAGCCTTAGGTAGGTACGGTGTAACAGTCAGAACAGCTGGTGCAAAATGTTCGTCATACCTCACCCCCAAAAGTCTGTGGCACTCCCTCAAGTACGTACAAAGTCCAAGGGAAAGTGGGATCATGAGATCACTTCTACCACCATGGTGTGGGAAGTTCCCCGCAAGCATGATGAGAACGCGCCGAGTGTGCTCTTGGCTCTGAAAGCAGACACCGCCCTCAGCTGCCACTGGGATGCCACCGGTACCCCTGGCCACAGAGAAGGAGGGAGAAAGGGAGGGCAAAGGCCCAGACTAACGCTTATTATTCTTTGTAATGGGGGTGGGACGCTAAGAGACAAAAAATTAAAGGAATGTACGATAAGAGGGAAACACCAATTAACAGCCGTAATCAGGAACAGGAATGGGATGACCAGTCAGTCAAGAAGGACTTGCTAGGCTTTTGCTGTGTGCCAGGGACTGTACTGGACAGATGTTCAGAACAGAAAAACAACCAGGAAAGGCATCAATTAGTAAACACATTTTCAACAGCTACCGTGTGCCTCTGTCTGCTTCAGCCTCCTCGGCTACCTCCCACGGCTGGCGTGAGGCTCACACGTTGGCCAAGCGCTTGGCACAGGGCCCCCACGGTTCCTCCCTCCTTACTGGGTGACTGCGACGCTCAAGTCACTTACTTTCCCCCTCCACTTGTCAAGGCAGGCGTTGGTCTAGTGAGCAGGTCCGAGATCTGGGAGGACAACTTTGTCTTCGCCGCCGTCTGCTGCTGGACTCTGACCTCTGCTGCGTCGGCCAAGTGCATCAAAGTCTTTCGTTCTGGGCTTTCTTCAAAATTCTTACATCCAATACATTTGCATATTGAGGAACACATTATTTTTGCCTAAAAGATCAAGTAAGGAAAGGTTAAGGATCTAGCATTGACTTTACAGAGATAAAAAATTGGTAGATAGGATTGCATTAGATTCCACTATGGAAAGGCTAATTACACAATCAGGCATTTATTTCAATCCCAACTTAAACACACTCGAGGTACAAACGTGGGCCAAGCTAGGCGTACAACAAGCAACGTTCCCCTGAGTCACTGCCTCAGAATTTACCAGCTGTGTGATCCCAGGCAAGGCGCTGAACCTCTCCAGACCAAATTCACCAGGGAATCAAAGTGGGGAGGGGGCATGAGGAAGAACACCGCCAGGAAGGGGACAGCTGCAAGCAAAACATACTTTCTGATCCCCAAAGGGGACGGAGTAAAAGGAGAAAAGACCCAGACCCAGACCCTGCGGTGGTGACTTGGGCTGACTTTTGGAGTGCTCCGATCACCACGGGGATCAACCGTGGCTCTAGAGGTGGGCGATGGAGAAGGTTACCCTCCTCCCAACAGAAGGGGAAACATGGAGGATGGACACAACATCTAAGAAAGAGACGTACAATTTTGGACATGGCCGCTGTGTGGATTTGTTTTACTTGACCGTGCTCATTTGTTGCAGGGATCTCTCTCTCCCTCCCTCCCTCCTTCCTGTTTTCAACGGGAAGGAGGAAGGGAGGCTAGCATAACACCAAAAATAAAGGAAATTCGCAGAGGAGGGAGTAGCAGGAAAGGGCACATCTGAGTTCTAACCAACTACACTTCCAACCCGACCTACAAAGTGCTTCAGAATGCGTGCTGGTTGGGAAATCCAAGAAAAAGAGTCATGTTACAGCCCAGTACAGCACAGGGAGACAGAGGTCTGTGGACACGGAGGTCAGGGGCGAGCCAGGAATCAGCCTTCCTGCGCAGGAAGGGGCTGTGTACCAGGACAGTAAGTGGTCCCAAGTCCAGCAGGGAGCGTTGTAAGGGAGAGCAGTAACTAACAACGTCACAGATACGGGGCTGAGTAAGGAGGGGACCTACACCTAAGGGGGGCATTCCAGGGGAGAAGGACTCAGGGGCCCTGGGCTGTCTCCTGAGCAAGGAGCAAGTTTAGAAGCAAGCAGCACCTGTGTGGTTCTGACTGCAGGAGCCGAGGGGGGGTCTCAGCTCCAGCCCCCAGCCCAGGCTGAAGCCTCCAGTGGCATATCTCCGGCAGAAATCGCAAACCAAAGTTCTGTTCCTCTGAACCGGCAGTCTTCCCCTATACTGTTAATGGGTGGATCCAGCACTAGTTTGCTGGAACTCCAAACAGGGCAAGCCTACAGAAGTGTGGCTCAGACTCAAACCTATGCAGAGCTCAGATCAGAGGGAAGCAATCAAATTTGGCTCTGGATCAGACCATTTTGAAGAAACAGTAAGTTTGCAGGCCCCCAACCTAAGCTGTCCCTGAGATCCTGGAATAACACAACACTCAATACCCCAAGAAAGCAGGAGCAGAACAGCCCAGACATAACTTTCAAAATTTGGCATAGCCCAGCCTTAAAATAAAGTGTGATTTTAGGAATTAGGCTGGAAAAATGAGCAAACAGAAATAGAATTCCACCATTAACAGCTATTATGCTGACATGAATGCTCAAAATACAATCTCAGAAAAAAGAAAATGACTCCAAAACATCTATAAGCAAAGCCTCAAAGAGAAACACAGCTTGAGTAGAGTGCAACAAGAATTCCTGAAAGAGTATGAACCATGAGTTTAAGAAAAGAGGAGTTTAAAATTACTTTATAAATTAGAGTGCTAGAATAAAGAAAACTGTAAAATAAATAAGACCCGAGGAAGAAATAATTACAAATAGAATTGACAGCTTGGCATAAGAGGTATAGAACTTTGCAACAAACTCCCTGAAAACCTTACTGAAGAAAACAACTTCCTAAAAATCAGAATGGACCAAAAAGAAGATAGTGACTTCATGGGACAACAAGAAATATTAAAACAAAGTCAAAAGACTGAAAAAAATAAAAGAAAATATGAGGCATCTCATAGTTAAAACAAATCATTTAGAACACAGATCATGAAGAGATCATTTCAGAATCAATGGGCTATCTGAAAGCCATGACTAAAAAAAGAGTCTAGACATCGTATTTCAAGAAATCATAAAAGAAAACTTCCCTGATCTACTAAAAGTAGAAGGCAAAATGGAAATCCAAAAAATCTACTATTCACCTCCTGCAAGAAACCCACAAATGAAAACTTCCAGGATCTTCAACAGCCAAAATTCAGAGCTTCTAGGTCAAAGGAAAAGAATGTAATAAGTAGTCAGAAAGAAAGAATTCAAGTACAGAGGAACCATAGTCAGGATCAAAACACATGATTTAATAGCCACCACTATAAAAGAGAAGAGAGCACAGAATATCATATTCTAGAGGCAAAAGATATAGGCTTATAAACAAGAATAACTTATGCGGCAAAACTCGGTATAATCCTACATGGGAAAAAATGGACCTTTATGAAACAGAGGTCTACCAAGCATTCCTGATAAAAAGGCCAGAGTTGCAGGAAAACTATGAAGTACAAACATAGCCATCAAGGGAAACATAAAAAAGGTAAACAGTGAACAATAGATAAGAACAAAACAAGGATACACTGATTATATTCTAATATGGGCAGCTGAAACATGGGTCCCCTAAGAATCCTACCATCATAAAGGGTCAAAGAGAGAGTCTAATTGAAAGAGGATCTAGGAGTGGTTTTGTTATGTTTTGATGATTTTAAAGCATGGAAAAGAGACAATGGGAAAGGAAATATGGGGAAAATCATCTTACATAATTGGAGTACACACGCTGAAGTCTATGCAAACAAGGAGAAAGGGATGGGAGAGTGCAGCTGACATTTGAACTTTGCTCTCCTCTGGACAACAGAGGGACAATTACATCAGACAGCTGGCTAAGATATTCATTTTACTTAACTGGAAAAAGGAGAGATGGGGAAAAGGAAGTGGGGGGCAGGAATAAGAAGGAAGATGAAGGAAACAATCAGTCCAAAACAAGCTCCAAGAATGTATAAAAATATTTATAGCAGCTCCTTTAGTGTGGCAAAGAATCAGAAACTGAGGGGATGCCCACCAATTGGGGAATGGTTAAATTGATAATGTATGAATTTGATGGAATACTATTGTGCTATTAGAAACGAAGGGGACAGTTTTAGAGAACTGATGCAGAGTGAAGTAAGCAGAACCAGGAGAAGACAAACAACTCTGAAAGATCTAGGAACTGTGATCCACACAATGACCAACTACAATTATGGAAGCCTCACGGTAAAACCCATATCCTTATAGAGAGGTGATGGACTGAGTGAAGACTGAGACTTTTCGGGGGGAAATGGACAAGATAAATTATCATTGTTCCTGTTCTAATAACTTAACAGTGCAGTGATTACCAACCTTTTTTTTTTTTTCAGCCGAAGACAAGATTTATTAGAACATCGGTCATACTGCGCAGACTCTTAAGGAGTCTGAACGTTAGTGAGCTACTGGCTAGATTATGAGAATCTGAGCAGGGGCTAGATTTTAAGAATCTAAGCATCTTAATGGAGACAAGATGGCCCGTATATACCGAAAGACTGTGGGAGGGATCTAGGAGTGTCCAAGTAGTGATTACCAACCTTTTTATGTAGGAGAACCCTCTGTTCACTGACACCTCCCTGCCCTCCCACCCCCCTTTTTGAATGGCTTAGATAGCAGCTGAATTTTTATTCACTTAAATGTCTAAAGAGTTCATTACAGGGAGATGGTATTAACCAAAAGAATGTGATTTATTTTTATAAGGAGATCATTGAACGACTCCTTAACATAAAGGTGACACCCCCATCAACTCAGGCAACAATATGTTAACAAAAAAATGGCTGATCAATACAGACTCGTTTATGAAAATGGATTTTATGACATGCTACTAAAATGACCGAACAGCTGCGTTTTAAGAATATTCTTAAGGACAACAGACTTATGATGTGATGCCAATTAGGCAACAAGGTGGTAGAAGTCACACAACCTATCACTCGCAGATTGTGAAAATTGAGTTATCTACCAGATACCTGGAAAAATATGATGAAGTAGCTAGAATGACATACCAGAAGCTCATTTTCCTTTACAAATTCACAGACAATAAGTCTCTGCATGACCATTCAAAGCCCAGAACATCCTCCAGAATTCCACAAGTTACCTCTCCTGGAGGCAGAGCGTCATTGCCAGCAGAGATGGGGCCCAAAGCCACCAGCAGAGTCCTGCTCACACATTTAAGAACATTTCCAAAAAGATGTGGCCACATGAAATACTCTTCATCTTCCAACTACACAGAATGAAATCTCCAAAGAGATACTAATGGGGGCAGCTAGGTAGTGTGGTGGATAGAGCACCAGCCCTGAAGTCAGGAGGACCTGAGTTCAAATCTGGCCTCAGACCAAAGACTTGACACTTACTAGCTGTGTAACCCTGGGCAAGTCACTTAACCCCAACTGCCTAAAAAAAAAAAAGAGAGAGAGACACTAATGGAAGGAATTAAACGCAAGGCAAGGTCCACATGCTTGCTGTTTTCCAGTCCACTTCGTGAGTTATGCTCACAATGCTTTCAATTTGCAGAATACTACTCTGATTCTCAATTACAAAAAGAAGTTATTTACCCCCGTGCAGTAATCTGAGGAACATTAAACGTAAAAGAATAATAGCAGGTTAGTAACTTTTCACTGGACCGCTTCTAGCTGAGCCCCATTAAATATGAAGAGAACATTCGGGTAACCACAGTAACAGCAGCTCACAGTTACACAGCTGCTTTCACAACTCTGAGGTCGGTGCAATTATTACCCCCATTTCACAGATGAAGAAATTGTGTCTCACAGAGGTTAAGCAGAAGCGCAAAGAGGTATGATTTGAATCTAGGTCTTTCTGACTCCAAGTTCTATCCATTACATCATGATGCTTCTCCATTTATATTAATCACAACTGACGTGTATTTGAAAAACAGGTTTATATGTAAAACTGCGGACTTCAGCCTATAGAGATCATGTCTGCTCACGTACAGAACCACACTGGGATTCCTGGGCCACTGGAAACAACTCTGGCCCACGGTCCTGGCCTACAATTTAGGGACTTTGGAAAAAGATGACATTAAAGGAATCTGCTACCCCTCTAAAATTTCCCTTCCTTCAGTTTGCAAAAATATCGGTTAATCAGGAATCTAGAATATGAATTTATGAGTACCACAAAGGGCATCAGCTAACAGCAATATGCTATTATAAAACCACAACTCTTCAAACTCAAGGCTGGATCTTATCTTAAGGTCATGCTAATAAACCGCAAATGAATTAAGGATAGATGTCACTATTCCAGACCCAAGTAGTGATAAGTAAACTTTAGATAGAGTGCTTAAAGTATTTGGAGTGTGGATTATATTATAGACACAGATGTTAATTAGCTATTTAAGGGACCAAAATACACTCAAATGTCCATAATAAAAAGATTAAACATCAGTTGAAACTGTTCCTATAATATATAAACAGATTTTGAAAATTGAGCTCACTTTAAAATAATCTATGGAAAAAGATGGTATGCTTACCTCATAGCATTCACAGTAATTCTTAAGACATCCTGACCGTTTACAGTTACACCCCTTGCTATGACGGCGATCAGACTCTCCTTCCTTTCCTTTCCCTATCTTGGGTTTAAACGCCTCGGGATTTCTGTCAAGGCACGCCTATCAAAAGAGAGCAACAACCATTACTGAGCTGGGAATCACGCTGCGGTCATCATTTATGGAGCTGGGTGTAAGTCCAGCCACTCGGGGAAGCAAAATGGAAACACTGTGAGAAAGTGACTGAGAGGCCCACATGTTTTGTCTCAGAGATCCCACAAAAAGAAAAGCTCTGTACGCTCACGTAACATCTAGGACAGTGCTTCCTGTAGCAGCAAAGGGCTGGAAACAAAGTAGGTGCTTATCAGTGGGGGAATTGATACACACACACACACACACACACACACACACACACACAGACACACACACACACACACACGAACTTAGTGGAACATTAATTATCATGCTGTTAAGAAATGATAAATATGATGAAAAAAGAGAGGCCTGGGAACATTTATATGAGCTGATTTAAAGTGAAATGAGCAGAACCAGGAAACAATAAACCTAGTGAGGACAACAAAGAAAAAACAACAGTGAAACAATCAAAACCGACTTTGACCAGATGGTACTGACCATGCTTGGCCCCAAAGAAGAGATATGAAAAGGTATTCCCCTCCACTTTGATGATGCAGAGGTGGGAGGGCCACGTGGAACACAGAATACAGTGTCAGGCTTTGGCAATATATTGGTTAATTTAGGAAATGTTTCTTTCTTCTGTTGTATTCTTTATTATAAGGCAGGGGTGGGGAACTTGCGTCCTTGAGGCCACATGTGGCCTTCTAGGTCCTCAAGTGCAGCCCTTGGACTGAATCCAAACTTCACAGAAAAGGATTTGTTGTGTAACACTTGGACTTGGTCAAAAGGCTACACTTGAGGACCTAGAGGGCCACATGTGGCCTCGAGGCTGCAGGTTCCCCAGCCCCGTTATAAGGGATGGTTCTTTGGGAGGGGGAGGAGTAAGGGACACGCTAGGACATGCAATGGAAAAATAAGTTTGTCAATAAAAATTTATTTTAAAATGCTGCAGTAGCTATGGTTTCAAAAACTATAAAATAACACCTCCTTCTACATCACAATGTCACCTGAAATGTATCTTCTAATAAAATTCTGAACCTCAAAACTCTAGTATAACTTGGGGGTTCAGTTAAAGTGACTGTTTTACACGCAGACATCGCCAGGATTCTTTATTGATACATGCTTATGGCTTCTGTCAACTACAGGGTAAGGGCTTCCATTACAAAAGAATGAAATCAACTGTTTTTGAATTTTAACGAAATAAAGAAATAATCACCTTTATAGCTTTTTGCCTTTCGTTTTCATGTTCCAAGTTATTAAAACAGTTATTGCAATTGCAGTTGTTGCAGAACTCACCATTCGCAAAGCAATCACAGTATCTGAAAAGTGGGAAAAATAAAACACAACCCATGAATTCACTGTGATCTGACTACACTAGAAATAATTTAATAATTCATATATTATGAAAAACACTCATGGCTGCTTGTTAATGAATTAGCATTACCATATGCTCAAACCTCAAAAGTTACTTAACCTTCAACGCTGATGGAACTCTGGCCTAGTAACTCAGTTGGACCAAGTGCTCACACCACAAGGCTATCTGGCCACATCAAATGCTGAGCCTAGCCTAACTAGCCTAAGAGCAAGTCTGATCATGCTCTCTGAGCTCAGCACCTGCTTGGGCATTAGCAGTAAGTTTCTACAAAGGGCTGGAAGCAGGAGTCAGACTTTGATCCTTCCAATGCACTTCTGTGCCTATTTCAACACAAGGAGAACCTGTCACCTTCCCAAAGGCCCCTGGGCTCCCTACAGCAAGAAGCCTCTGGCTCCTGTTACTATCAGATCCAAAGAGGCTGCTCCCTGGCCCTTCGGTGAGCCTCTTTTCACCTCTTCTCTTGCTCATAGTAAGTAGAAAGAGAAGTCTCTTGTCACATCATCTCACTTGAGAAAACGGTAGAAAAGAAGAGTCAGTAGAAGACAGATCCCCTGTAAGGCAGCTTCTTGGATAAATGACTTCCAAGAGAGCTCGGTACCATTTTCTGCTGCTTCTGGAAATTTTTATTACAAATGGTCACAGTGACTTGAATGAAGTTTTGCAAAAGTATTTTCTAGCCTTTTCAGCATCTACATGTGTCTAAGAGGTATCTACTGTAGAGAAAGGTTGTCCCACTAAGAGGGGAGAGAAGTGCAGAAGATGTACTAGGCATATAGTATACAATCAGATCAACCTGTCACAGGGAGCTGTGGAGAAATGATTCTGGGAAAAATTAATCAAATTTAGGACAATGATCTATCCATAAGACTGCTAGACAGATTCTTCCTTCACTCTAAAGAAAGCAATTCCTTTTTGGTGTCAAATAACTGAAAAGCAGTACAGAATAGAAACAGAATTCTGGACTTAAGAGTTAGAAAGACCTGGGTATAAATACTGCTACCGACACTTGCTGGCTGTGGGGAGAAGAGCAAGTCACTTAACTGTCTCAGCTTCAGCGTCTTCATTTGTAAAATGAAGATGGTAACACTTACCTCACAGGGTTGTTGTTAGGACCAAATGAGATAATACGTGTAAAGTGTTTTGCAAATCTTAAAGCACTATGTAAATGTTATTTGTTAATATTATTGTAATCACAAAATTTTGTAATATGAAAATCACTCACGTGGCAATTTCATTTTACAGAAAAACTACCAATATCATCAGCACATGTATGAATGAAAGTATAAGAAGTTTACATGACAACGTCATTAAAAATCATTTGCTAGAACGTTTGTAAACAAGAATTTTAAGTTAATACTTTTAGGAAACTTTTCTGGTTGCTTCACATGAAAAAGACTGACTTTCCAACTCACTCCTCCAACCCACCCCCAAAAGTATATATACACAACACTTACAATTTCAAACAGAGTGACTTTGTGCAGTTGCAGGGCTTTCTGGGCCGATTTGCAGACTCTGATGAGATTATCCTAAACAAGAAATGTTCAACAGCTTATTATACTTATTGCCCAGAGTTATTAAAGGCGACGCTGAAAAGCACAAACTCCAACGTATCCTCCTGAGATGGGAAGGATGAGGGAAGGGCTACATGTATGTCAGCCGTACAAGGAACAGTAGACCTAAGTTCACTCAGTCTTATGGCCAGTTTGGCAAAAGGAAAATAAGCTTTCCACAACAACTCTCAAAAACCACTGACTAGGGGCAGCCAGGTGGCATAGTGATGGGCACAGGGCACCAGCCCTGGAGTCAGGAAGATCTGAGTTCAAATCCAGGCTCAAACAACTTGACACTTACTAGCTGTGTGACCCTAGGCAAGTCACTTAACCCCAATTGCCTCACCAAAAAGACAAAGAAAAAAAAAGGTGGACAGACTCAGGTGTGGTAACGTCCACTTTGTGATTAGTAATCTTTAACTTAACTCTTAGAATCTTAGAAATAGGATTGTCCTATTTTTCAATTTTACTGGACTTTAAAGATGGTCCTTGATAAAAGGAGGTACTCAGTGTCTCTGGATGTTCTGAAATAACATGGGGAAAAGCTCAGTATGAAAATGAAGAACCCTGGGGCAGCTAGGTGGAGCAGTGAATATAGCTCTGGCCTTGGAGTCAAGAGGATCTGAGTTCAAATCCAGCCTCAGACATACTTACTAGCTGTGTGACTCTGGGTTAAGTTACTTAACCCTGATTGCCTCAGCAAAAAAAAAAAAAAAAAAAAAAAAGGAGAAGAAGACGACGACGAAGAAGAAGAAGAACCCAAAGGAAAAAGAGTTCTGGAGCCTGGCCAAAGGAAGGGAAAGAAATCAAATGTAGCATCATGAAACCTTTCCTCCAAAGAGAAAATATCCAAATTGGACCACATGAAGAGGTGCTTTTCTTTTTTAATAGCGTACTGGGAAGCCCTACTAACTGAAAAGGGCATGTGAAGCTGTTAAACAAGTATATTACAGGGGTATAGGTAAAAAAAAAATGTGAATGATGAGAATTTAGAAAAGTTAAATGCTACGACTAGAAAATTTCTACCTCTGGTAAGAAACAGTAAAATTACTGCAGAAGAAGTATATCTGAGATAGTCTAAACAAATCCTAGCCCAATCAGTGATACAGTAACCTAACAAACAATGGATCAAAAATCTGTGGTTTTCCAATGTTATAAGGCATAGACATTTTAGATGTCGCACCGCCCCATCATATTTTTTGCCTTTCTTTCTAACTCCAAAGTAAGTGCTTATTAAATATTTGTAGACTACCTCAACTGAGATATTTCTTGATATACCAACTATTATATTAAATAGATACTAAACTTCACCTAAAAGTAGGTCATTCTTTTCCAGATACTCACCCATTGAATGGCAGTCTTGCCTGGGTCTGTATACTAGACGTCCCAGTAAAACTAGTGTTGCTTGCTATAGACACATATGAAGACTGCTGTAGCTAACAAGACAAAATAAGGAGGTTTTGTCAAACTCACAAAAATAGACAAAGAATTCATTAAGAAGAATGTTAATACTCAAGTGGACTCCTGATCTCTGTGATAGAGGTTTTCCCTCTAGTGAGCAGACTGTAACCCATTCAGGGCAACTCCTGCCCTTCTTGGCCTCCCACCAGCTTGTCAGGGGTTCTCCATAATCACCCCAGGCCGGGGAACTGCCCCAACTTCTCTCGACATCACAAGACACCAAAGGCACAAAGGCATTGTCTGTCAGTTATCCGTCCCTCTTACCAAAAGACCAGCATACTGATCTTTTTCACACGTTTCTTAGAGAAATCCTTTCTTCTGCCTCTCCTGTATGAAGGCCTATTTATAATATGTTCCAGCCTACTCACAGCCAACATATGCCTTTCTTTGCCCTTGGCTGGATATTCATTTTTACTTCGCTGGAGACTTCAGTGTTACACATCTTGCAGTGACAGAATAACTCCAGAAAAATAATGGTCATTAAAGGGTAAGTCTTAATGTATCAGGGAGAAATCTGGGGACATTAGAGAAACGTTGCAATATCCCAAGTGACTGTTTATTTGCACTGTCTATCCAAGAAGTGTATAGATACAGGTTCTGTATGTTGTCTATCCAATTTTCTGGACAAGAGGCATTCTTCATCCACTTGGCTTTTCTTGGGTAGATATAGTTAGGTCAAACTCTTCCAAATGGTGATGGATTTCAACCAGGAAATGGTTAATTGAAAACATCATCTATAGGGAATCTCTTTCCAACTTGGACACTGTGCTAAATCTCTCCCAGGACAGGTCAAATACCTTCGGTAGATATGTCTTCCTATTTTATACCTTACCTAATATTAATGATTAGAGGGTTTAACAAAGCTGTTATTTTATCTTCAATTTCAAATCACTGTAATGCATGCATGGAATGTGATGTCAATGTCTAATTGCCTGAGAGCCCCGAAGGCAGCTTCTGCTGTTCCCAATGCAATGCTTTTTCACAATCAATAAATAATGTAGTAAGATCTGGTATTCGCTTTCTCAATGAACTGTATGATGGTACAGAGGTGCTCTTTTAGGGAATACTGCTTATACCTTCACCAACAATACTCTTGATAAATGCAGAGTACGTTAATTAAAATTTCATACAGATTGGAAAACAGGTACAGTTATCCCTTCCACATTGCAGAGGTTAGGGGCGTGGCATTTCCCACAATCTGGAAAATTCATATAAAATTTTTTGGCCCTCCCTTTATACCAGAGAAGTATGAATTATTATGGTATTAAAAGATAAAACATGCTGACATTATATAATACCATACATGTATTTTATGCATTTCTGAGTTTCTGAACATTTTCTGTGTCTTCTGCAGCTTCAGTAAAACTCCCCGCCAAATTCCCATTTAATTTCTTATGCCAACCTATGACTGATGGGGAAAGTGGCGATGTGGGAAGTATAACTGTATATAAGCTGGTTCTCTTGATCTATGTGGCAATATTTACCATCTCCCACCTTCCTTCTCTAAAAGATTTTACAAACAACTTACATTGCTAAATAATGTTGCCCTTGGCTGCTGTATGTGTTTAGTAAGTAAATCGAGCGGGTTTTGTTGTTGTTTTGGACAAACATGATTTTTAACCTTGTGCAGTCATTCACAGGTGGTGCTCTGTTCATTTGCATTTCTCTAATCAAGAGTGATTTAGAGCATTTTTTCATATACCTGTAGATAGCTTTAATTTCTTTATCTGAAAACTGAAATGTTCATATCACTTGATCATTTATCAATTGGGTAATGACTTGTATTCTTATAAATTTGACTCATTCCTCTATATATCTGAGAAATGAGGCCTTTATCAGAGACACTGGCTGTAAAAATTGTTTACCAGCTTCCTTCTAATCTTGGTTGCACTGGCGCTCTCCAATATCCCCAAAAAATAATCTGATAATTTGTGTCTCATACTGTTTATGTAAAGTTTAGTTGTTAATTAGCCCCCCCAAAATTAAATTTAATTTTTATTTCTTGTGTGAACAGAAGCCCTTTATAACTAAGGAGCTGATTAAACATTTGCCTTTAAAAAGATTCTTTGGGCACACACTCTAATGAAATGTGCTTCCAATGACTAGGATGGCAATCAAATTTCTGTCTGAAATGCTTCCAATCAATAATGTCCATTTATATCCAATATTCTTCATCAAAACTTGTATAATTAGGTCAGGCTGGAATTGTTCTAAATGCATACCGTCTTTTTCTCATTTTAATTCTTTCTTCTACCTTTATTTATTTTTACTCTGATCTCACAAGTTCAATCAATCAATAAACATTCATTAAGCACCTATTATGTGCCAGGCACTGAGCTGAGCAATGGGGATAGAAAAGGAAGCAAAAGAGAGTCCTTGCCTTCCAGACGCTCATGAACCAACAGGGGCTTGTCTCACTGCATAGGCCGTTTCAAGAACGATTTCCACGTCAGTAAGAAATCCGATCCTCTTCATCACAGTATAATCAGTTTCTTCTTGTCCCCCAATGCTAGTCAGTGCTTGCCAAGTCTAGAATTTTGGTGATTATATCCTCAAAGTATTCAGGATGTTTAGATGCAAGGCTTCTATAGCAGCTACAAGTCTTTGATCTCTCACTCCACAGCCCAATACATATTTTTCAATGTCTTGATCTATGGCTACGTTTGCAATGAAATCACAAAATATTTTTTGAACTATTGATTTAGTCCCCAGTTGATAAATGGTCAAAGGATATGAATAAGCAATTCTCAAATGAAGAAATTAAAGCCACCTATAGTCATATGAAAAAATGCTCTAAATCACTATTGATTAGAGAAATGCAAATCAATACAACTCTAAGGTACCACATCACACCTATCAGATTGGCCAACGTGACAAAACAGGAAAATGATAAGTGTTGGAGAAGATGGGGGAAAATTGGAACACTAATGAATTGCTGGTGGAGTTGTGAAATGATCCAACCATTTTGGAGAGCAATTTGGAACTATGCCCAAAGGGCTATAAAAATGTGTGTACTCTCTGACCCAGCAACAGAACTTCTAGGGCTGTATCCCAAAGAGATCATACAAATGGGAAAAGGACCCACATGTAGAAAATATTTATAGCAGCTCTTTTTGTGGTAGCAAAGAATTGGAAACTGAGGGGATGCCCATCACCTGGGGAATGGCTGAGCAAGTTGTGGTATCTGAATGTAATGGAATACTACTGTGCTATAAGAAATGATGAGGACTTCAGAAAAACCTGGAAAGACTTGTATGGACTGATGCTGAGAGAAGTGAGTGGAACCAGGAGAACGCTGTACACAGTAACAGCCATGGTGTTCGATGACTAACTTTGATAGACTTAGCCCTTTTTGGCAATGCAAGGATCTCCTAAAGTCTCATGATGGAAAATGCTATCCACACCCAAAGAAAGAACTTGGAGTTTGAATGCAGATAGAAGCATACTATTTGCTCTTTTTTTTTTCTTCTGTTTTGTTTTGTTTCCTCCTATTGATTCTAATTCTTCATTACAACATGACTAATGTGAAAATATGTGGAATAGGAATGTATATGTAGAGCCTACATCAGACTGTGCGCCATCTTGGGGAAGGAGGGGGGAGGGAGGGGAGAAAAACTTAAAACTCAAAAGCACGTGGAAGTGATTGTTGAAAACTAAAAATAAATTAATAACAATAATAATAAAAGAAATGTTGATTTAGTTTGGAAGGTTTTACATGGTTCTGCCCAGAATTTCTCTGTTATTATCCTTCACATGACATGTTGGTTCATAAAACTGTCTGTATTTTTATGGTGGTCTTTTTGCAAATGATTATTACAAGCATTATAAAATGACCAAATGTTCTGTGAACTATTTCTTGTTACCTTCAGAGACATGAAAACTGCTGACTACTTTATTTCCATAATCCAAGAGAACCTTTAGCCACCTTTGCATTTAGGTGCAATTTTTCTCTGCCTTCTGATCTTATTTATGACAAGAACGATGTGGGATATGACTCAGTTCCCCTGGCAGTGTGTCCACTCAATGGTCACATTTACAGCCACAACCATGAGCTCACGGTTATAAAAGGTGCGACGGCTACGTGATTCCAGCACCCTTTGCTCCCAGTCCAGCCACTGTCACTACTAAAATGGAGGGGCTGCGAAGGATGAGGAAGAGTGCAAGTTTCATTCTCATTCATGGATTACTATGGCCAAAGAACACATTACACCAGTGGCCCGCCTGCTAGTGACGAGCCCCTCCCCTCTTAGGCTGGGTGGTCTGTGGCAAGCAGACAGTCCACTACTGTCTGCTAGAGTCTCAAAGACTCTGCAGAAAGATGAAACCCAGCAGCACTCAGACTCCCCGGGGAACATCTCAGATCGAGGCTAAGATGGGAGACTGGTGCAAGGCTTTGCTTTCACAATTTCACACGTCAGATAAACTGCGAGCGCCTACGTACATTCTTTTAGAGTGTCAGTGTCAGACAAAAGTGAAGGCAGGCATTTTCCCACTAGTGCCTCCTCTACCCATATCCACAGGCTACTGAACACAGCCGGAGGAAATCTGGCAAGGACACTAACTGGGGACGAGATAAATTCCTGCTGTTCTACCTGCCGGCGGCAAAGCCATCCTTACTCACTGATTCTGTACCTCATTCCTCACAGAAGCTCTTCCACACTTCCCTGCCTCCAGCTCTCTCAGGTGTGAACTTTGCCTCTTACTTTGCTGGGGGGGGGGGGAGGGGGGAGAGGAGGGGACCACTGACATGAGCTTCCTCTCCAAAGTCCCTGACGTCATCTCCCGCTCTTCTTTTCTCCCGGTCTCTGACAAAGAGCTGGCGCTTCTCCTCGTCAAGGACAAACCCTCTTCCCAAGCCCCTGATTCCGTCTCTTTTCTTCTCCAGGAGATCCTCACCTCAGCCCCCCAGACCCTCTCGAGTCTTCAGTTTGTCCCCGTTTCTTCCCAGAGCTGTGAAACCTGTCCAAGGCCTCCCCATCCTTAAAAACCCTTCACTGACCCACACCATCCCTTCCAAAGGCATTCCCCTCCTTGATGAAGAAGCTGTCCAGATCCACCATTTCCCGTGGTCTTTTCTCTCTCAGCCACCTTGGTGGCCCTCTCCTCCTGGGTAGCCAGCCTTTCTCCTGCTCCTTCTCAATCTCCTTTGTCGGCTCACCATCCATATTACATCCCCTAACTATGGACGGTGCTCCAGGTTCTGTCAGACGGTCTCTTCTCCCTCTGCGTTCTCTCTGGGTAACTCCATCAGCTCTCATGGTAAGTTGACTATCTTGTTTTAAAGGGATGTCTCAGGGGCATCTCAAACTCAAAGTGTTTAAAACTAAACTCATTGTCTTTTCCGCTACATCTTTCCTTCCACCAAACTTCCCAACCCTACTCTTCCAGTGACTCAGGTCTGTTACCTTGGCATTATCCTGGACTCTTTTCTCTCCCTCATCCTACATACTCAATCAGTTCCCAAAATCTTGCTGTTTTTCCTGCGTGATTTAGAAGTCTACTTGTGCCCATCACACGCCTTTCCACTGTCCTCTGGCTGACTTATAACTTTAACTGGTGTTGGGATTTTGCTCCAAATCTTATTTGTGTCTAAAATGACATACTGCAGGTTTCTTTCTTAGAATCAAAATCACCCTTTCCAAGCGCAGCAAGGTTTTTAATGCACAACACCCTCAGGTGTTCATCACTCAACCTATTACTTGGCTCATTACCATATTCATACTCATCATCCTGCATTCTAAAGTCATCTGGGACAAACTGGAATGGATCCTTGATGGCCTCATACTGACTTATTACTGTCATACTGACAAATTAACAAATTCTCTTTTATTACTTTCTTTTACCTTATTTCTAAAGTACTCTAAAATTCTATAAATTTCCTTCCTTAACATTAATAATAATTAATTTTTATTTATTTTGTTAAACATTTCCCAATTGCATTCTAATCCAGTTTAGCTGCGCATGACTTTGATACTTCTGATCTCAGGCTGTGTTTAGAAATTTCTTTATTCATTACTAAACTGTAACCTCTTCCTCATTAATTAATCAGTTCTGAGAAACCACCCCAGTTTATTAAATGTTATTTGACAATATCTTTTTTTCTATCTTCTCATAGCCTTTGCCCAGCCATGAAAGGAGAATATTTTCTTTACAGACATAGGTAAAACTCAATCACTTGACAAAAAAATTAAAACCCAATCTCTTTACAAGTAGCTGTCAAAACTCTCCATCTCCTAATGGGTTCCCCATAGATTAAAGTTAAAACTCAAAACTCTAACTCCATAGGGAAGGGCAGTTAAATGGAAATTTCAAAGCCTCTTAAAGATATAGTAACAGTATATATAACTTTGTGTAGAAAAGTTAAGAAAATTAATTAGTTTTTGTTTAACTTGTAGAAATGTCTATTATAAACTGGGTAATTAGTAGCTGAAATTATCTTGGGGGAAAAAAACGAAGAAAAAAGGTGACAAAATCAAACTATGAGTCCCCTTACAATAATGTTCTTTGTGCCTAGTAAATAGGGTATATGCTTCGAATTGTTTCTATCAGTCAGTCAACAAGCACTTATTAGAGCTTGCTACGTACCAGGCAAGCAGAGATAAAAACTTAGTTCTTCTGCCAATAAAGGATGTGCATTTTAAAAACAGCTATCTATTTTTGTTGGATGGTGGTTTTTGTCCATGAAACACTGTAGCTTCACTACAGCCCTGAGCTAATCAAAAGGATTCATCAGCTCACAAAGCATGTATATGTATATAATTGTATGTATGTAAATACATACAATTGGTAGGTTTTATGATGTGCTGGTTGTAAAATATCTCCAGAGTTCCTGTCACGAACATCATCTACATCTTAGTTTTTATCTGGGAATCATAAGATAGGAAATTATTAGCACCTTATTTAGCTAACAGTTAAATGCAAAGATTATGCTATACATTTGATGGATTGTGAATCTGCCTCTAGACAGTACATGTAACTCAGTAGGGGAAACTACACTTTCCCATCAAATTCTCCTTTATTACTTTCTTTTACCTTATTTCTAGAGTACTCTAAAATTCTATAAATTTCCTTCCTTAATATTAACAACAATGAAACCCACAAACTCAAATTTTTATAATGCCTCACTGTTTTCAAAATGCATCCACACACTCTAGACTTCTGACTATTTGACTCGGGACTGCGTGTGTGAAGTTTTAGTAAGTGGAACTGCATTTCCTGTGTAACTGCTTGGTGGTCAAGGCCCAGCAGTTACTGTGATCCTTGTCTTACAGGAATCAGCAGAGGCTGAATGGGCAAGACGGGTGATGGAAAGGAAGATCAGGTCATTCACGGAGTGAGAGAGAGGGATAACTGGTGGGCAGTCTACATGTTCTACTGGCATTCATGTCATGTGAAGACATCTACAAAAGATCCCGAACACATGGGCTATCCCGACATTTGTGGGTTGAAATGGGCAAGAACTGTGCAGGAGGAGAGGATCGGGGTGAGTTTCAATTTGTAGTTCTGGAGGGAACACCCTCCCTGCTATGATCACAGATCCCTCCAAGGATCAAAGTGGCTACATTTCTTCCACGTACCTGAGTGACATACTGGGCTGGAAGGACGGCATAGCCCACATTGCCTGTCCCAGGGGCTGGCGCGAGAACAGTCCCCGGGGGGAGGTTAGTGAGGTTCGGCTGAATCTGAGGCAGCGGTGTGGCGGGCATAATAAGCCGTTGTTGGGGCTGGCTAGTCGTAACTATCTGTGAGCTTGTACTGATCGGTTTGGGAACAACCTGAAAAGAAGAAAAAAGCACGTTAAGTCTAAAGAGTGTTTAAAAAGTACTCTTCGAGTCAATAAGAATTTGGGGGGCAGTTATTGATCACAGCGTCCAGATATAAAGTTAGAAGTAAACTCTGAGGTCAGCTATCCCGATGACCTCATTCTACATATGAGGAAACTGAGGCACACAGGTTAAATAATTTGCCCAAGGTCAGAAGGTATTACGTGCCAAAGCCATTCATTCCTAAACTAGCCCTTAGAGATGCAGGTATAACACTGTAGCAACATTTTAGATGAAACAAAAAAAATCACATAATACACACCTGTTTGACAGTTTGTGCTGGAACAATCGGAACCGACATCCGAACAGGGGCTGCATTGACCACGACCGGTTTTGCTGCTGAAAGGAAAAATACAGAACAGGAGTTAGTTCTTTCTCTATAAAACGCTGCCAAACTCCTTACAGAAGTTATGAACGTCACAAAACAGGATTTTCCCTCAATGAGCTTCTAATTCTGCTCAAGTAGTTATTTCCATTATTTGAAGATAACATTCACTTAGGAACATTCTATTAACTTTGAAGTTATCCTCATAAAAGATCGGAGAACTCTTTTTTGTGCCGTCATGTTTTCAGTCACCAATCCATCCTACGACAGGTGAGTGAACTTTAGACCTTCTTAAATTCATGTGTGAGAACGCCTCTTGTGATTGCTGTTCAGTCGTGCCCTACTCTTCTGGCCCCATTTGGGGTTTTCTTGGCAGAGATATTGCAGTGGTTCGCCATTGCCTTCTCAGGTTCATTTTACGGATGAGGAAATCGAGGCAAGCAGGGCTGAGTGACTTGCCCAGGGTCACGCAGCTAGTAGGTGTCTGAGGCCAGATATGAACTCAGGGAGATGAGTCTTTCTGATTCCAAGCTCAGTGCTCTATCTACTACGAAATCTACTGGCCCAATTTCAAATGGGCTAAATTAATTATATCTACACTATTTTATCCTACCTGTCCAAAGAATATATTTTAATCCTTCCTGCTTATTCCCTTATTAGTTTTCACAGAAAAAAAGGGCATTGCTTTCTTTTCTCAATAAAGACGCAATGCTAGGGGCAGCTAGGTGATGCAGTGGATAGGGTTTCAGCCTTGGAGTTAGGAGGACCTGAGTTCAAATCCAGCCTCAGACACTTAACACTTACTAGCTGTGTGACCCTGGGCAAGTCACTTAACCCTGATCGCCTCACCCAAAAGCAAAAAAAAAAAAAAAAAAAAAAGACTCAATGCTAACCACTGTGCTTCTACAGCGTGCTGAGGCACAATTCACACCCAAACCATGGTCTTCAGATAGAGGACAGTTATTCAGTTATTATTCACAGTCTTTAGACTTTAAATTTTTTACAGCTAGAATTCTCCTTTTTTCCCCTTCTTCAAGTATGCAGAAGATTGTGTTCAAACAAAGGTCTGTGAACACTCTTCTGGGCTGTTCAGATGCTGGAGTTGGCTGTCAAGGCAGCAACCACCCTGGATGATGATTCTGTAGATACAGATGCTCATGTACCAGTGGGACAAAATGCAGAGGCCCAAGGTTCTTCCAGGCCTCAGCCATGCCCTCAAAGGAGGTCGAGACTTAGGAAATTGCACTAATTCTGCACGGAAAATTAGAGTGCCGCTTAGTGCATTAGAGCTGCAGTGTGAAGCCCCCCCAAAACGTGGGCCCTTTGGATGCTTACATCATCATTCTCAGTAGTCATCTGCACTGCCGTTCACAGAGGCTGAGCACGCTGCACCTACACAAAAGCTCTCTGAGGTAGGCAAGACTGGTCTCCTTTTCGACATTTCACTGACCCGGAGGAGACTGAACCTCAGAGAGATGGTCACCAAACCATCGAGTGTTGGAGGCAGGAGTCAAGCCCAGCCCCCTCCGGACTCCCTGCATTTCTCTGCCTGGCCAGAGGTCATAAGAGGCAGCCTCCTAGAGTCTTGATGAAAAGAAAACACGTGCTGGAGACAGGGAGAAGGAATCAGCTAAGTACTGGCACTTGGCCACAAGAGATAGAGCGCCAATGACGATGTCATGGGGATGGAACGGTGTAATGAGTAAGAGGTGGTGCCAAAGGCATTGGGAAGCACTGGGGAAGGGGAAAGGTGACCGGATTTGTAATTAGGAGAGACAAGGACATGGGCACGAATCCCACTTCTAACCATTACAAGCTGTGTGACCTCTGAGTCCCAAGCTTCTCATCAGTAAAGAAGGTAAAATGGTTTGATGTGAGGATCAAATGATATAATGGACACAAAAATGACTGGCTAAACTTAAAGTACTATAGAAAGTATCATTACGGTCACTGTTAGGTGGTGAAGTCAGAATGAAGAACAGGCTGCTGGACAGACACCGGGCTTATTTTTGGAAATGCTGAATGTGCAGTGCCAGTTACTCTGGCATTGGACAGAGATTGGTGAATTATTTGGTCAAAGGCAGGAGGTGAAGAGAAGAGAGAGGGAATAAAAAAGGGAGGAAGAGCAGTCTCCTGTAACAGCCGCATTAAGAGGTTGGATAGGACCAGCCAGGATGGCGGAACACAAGGCAGCAGTGCAGCCCACACTTCATTAAACCTAAAAAAGAACCACAGGGAGGACTGATGGGGAAATCCGATGGAGACCCCCTGGGGAGTACAACACACGAACCCTGAAGAGAAAGGAAAGAGGTCTGGCAGGACCAGATCTCCAACTACGCTATGAAGTGGTAATCATCAAAACAGCCTGGCACTGGTCAAGAAAGAAAGGCTAATCAGTGGAAAAGATGAGGCACACAACCTAGAGAAGCAAACGAACACGGCAGCCTCACGTTTGATAAACCCGAAGATCTCATCTACTGAGGCAAGAACTATTTTGAAAAAAATCTGTGCTTATCAGAGTCCCTTGTTGTAAAGATTTTTTTCTCCTCCTAATTTTCATTCTATTGGTTTTGTGCGATGCACAAGACACAAAACTGGAGAGTGAGAAAGCACGCTAGCAGAAACTAGGTCTGGAACAACATCTCACATTGCACAACAAAATACACTCCAAAAGGGTGACATAAAGGCGGAAATCATCAACAAAGGAGCAGATTAAGGGATCTATGGATAAGGGACTGGTGCCGGCCTCATCCCCTCACGTCTCGACTACTACGACAGCTCCTGGGGGGCCCGACTGTCTCTCCCCACTCAATCCACTCTCCATTGGGTCATCCAACTGATCTTCCCAAAGCACATGCCTGACCCTGTCATCTCCTCATTCAATAAACTCCCTATCGCCTCCAGGGCCAAAAACAAAACCTCCTCTTTGGCATTCAAAGGCCCTCCCACCCTTCCAGTCTTCTCCTGCCTTATTCCCACTCCCCACCACGTTCTCTGACACTGGACTCCTGGCTGTTCCTCCAACAAGATACTCCATTCTCCCAACTCCATGCATTTTCACCAGCTGACCCTTCCTTCCCCATGCCTGGACTACTCCCCCCTCCTCATCTCTATCTCCTGGTTTCCTCAAGTCTCAACTCAAATCTCAACTCCGGCAAGAAGCCTTTCCAGGCCTCCTTAATGACAGTGCCATCCCTCTGAGAATATTTCTTGTTTGTACGAACTTATTTATGTGCTGTCTCCCTCAAGAGATTGGGAGCTGCCTGTAGGCAGGGAGCTATTTTTGTTTTCATGTATAAGTAATTAATAGTTGTTGACTTGACTTCAAGGAACTACATTTTTCTGATCTTCCTGATTTGTAATCTTGGGGTTATTCTCGACTTCTTACTCTCCCCCCACCCCGCCACACATCCAATCAGTTACCAAATCCTTCACATCTTTCCTGTCTATTCCACTCTCACCACTCACCAGCCACCCCTAGGTCAGGCCCATATCACCTCTTAGTCAGACTATTACAATGACTTCCTAATTGCTTCCCTGCCTCAAGATTTCCCCCGTCTAATTTATTCTCCCTACAGCTGCCAAAGTGAATTTCCTTAACTGGACATCTGACCATGTTATTCTCCCACCCAAATTCTGGTGGCTCCCTCTGGTCTCTAGAATAAGACACATGTAAATTCTTATGTTTGGCTTGTAAAGCCCTTCACAATGTGACCCCAACCTAATTTCTAATCCCACTGCACATTACCCCCCCCCCCCCCCCGCTGCACTCCATAGACCACAAACAACTGGCTTTTCATCTTCTCTTCACACAAGGTCCTTATCTCCAGTGTTTCATTCCTGGAAATATGTTACTTCCTCACCTCCATTTTATACTTGCCTTCAAACAATATTTAAAGTGCCACCAACAGTGTCCAATTCTACACGATACCTCTCACAATCCTGCCACCTGGCAGTGCCTTCCCTCCTTCATAACTTGTTGTTTTGTATTTATTTTGTATATCCTTGTATAAGTAAGTACATGTTGGGTAGATCCATCCTGCTCAATAGAATGTAAGCTCCTTAAAAGAAGTTCTGTTTCACTTTTGTCTCTGTATCCCCAACATCCGCCAGAGTCTGGCACATAATAGGTACTTAATATATGTTTGCAGACTGAGCTGACAATTCTGATATTACAATTCCTGGCTGGATAATACAGTGACACCTGTCATCCTACTGTAGGCTTAGGGAAAGCAGTACAAGAGCTAATTCAGAAATCTTATCTAACTTCCTTGAGAAATGGGATTGTTTCATTCTTTCTATTTGTATACCCAATGCCTAGTACAATACCTGGCACACAGAAGATACTAGATAAATCCATGATGATTGATTACTACCACTACAATGCCCTGTGTCACATGCAGTGTATATATAAAGCCTGAAATACCATATGTAAAATTAACTTAGAACAATTTCACCAAATTGGTGAGTTGGAAGGAATCTCAGAGGCCATCTATCTAGTCCAACCCCCCACTAAACTACTTAATAAATCTTAGCTTGAAGATCTCCAAGGAGGGGAACCCACCACCTCTCGAGGAAACCCATCTCACTCTGGGATTGCTCTATTAGGAAGCTTTTCCTGATGCCAAGTCTAAAATGTTTCTGCAACTTTCATCCATTATTTCTGGTCCTCTCCTGTAGGGTCAAATGGCACAAATCCAATCGCTCTTCTGTGGGACAGCCCTTTAAATACCTGAACACAACTAACACACTCCCTTTGAGTCTTCTTTTAGCCAGGCTAACCAGTCCCATATGGATTCAAGGCCCTTCCCATTGTGAATGCCTTCCTCTGGATGGTCTCCTCATGGTCTCCTGCCTCTGTAAAGAAGGGCAAGAGATGCATGCTCATCTCTGCTCTCTGGGAACAAGCTTGGCCATTGTATTTTAATAGCATTTAGTTCTGACTGTTTTGTGGTGGGGGTTCTTCTCATTTACATTGTTGTAGTTGTTGTGCACTCTGCTTCACTTTGCATCT